AAAAACGCTCCAGAGCTGCGCACGGACGAACTTCCTATTTCGAAAAATGGCCAGGCAAAAAGATCGTCTGACAATATCCCTCGTAAACTCGGGCATATGTACTTAACGATCGAACGAGGATGCATACGGAATCACGGATTACCCAAAATTGGCCCAAAATGCCGGGAAATGGTAACATGTCAGCCTGTGTTCCGTGATCTTATTTCGCGACCCGTGTCATCTTACCTCTCATCCCTACTATTCTTACTATAGTGTGTACATACTATCTCGAGAGCTTGCAATTTATTGTTGTTACCATATTGGGCCTTTGCCTTATTTCGGTTTAGATATTTTTTCTTCTATTCTCTCCTTTGATAATTTTTTTTATTGATAACAACGAATAAATTTAGCCCACACTCCTTTACCCTTTGTCGCTTTCTTCGATACATAGGCATTGTCTCCTGTCTACATAATACCTTGTTCGCTTCCTGCCGCGATGCTAATTCCTGGGCGATCCTATACTTCATAAGAAAATAATCGCGCCCACGTACCCGATAACTACGATACCGCGACAGCGACAGCAACAATAATTGTATATACGACCGTTCGACGCGACACGACAGCTACCGCAATATCGCAATATCGCAAACTATTACAGCGACTTACAGTTTTTCCGTTAAGCTATACCCCACACAACCCTCGTAGATGCGCGCCTCCGGGTAGAATCATGTGGAGGCGTACCTATATGTTTCTAGTTCTGGTACGACTATGGCTCGCTTTTTCGCCGAGCTATTTGCACCCAGATGAAAATTTCCAAGGTCCTGAAGTTATAGCAGGTAAGCGCAAAGACACAGGTTGCTGGGGATTTAAAATTAACTCTGTTCGCAACCGTTTGCAACCATTATAGACTAACAAATCGGTGTGCAATATAGGTCAAATCTTCAGCTACCCCGTCCGACTGACTTGGGAATTTACAAGCGATCATCCCATACGTAGCGTTTTTCCGCTATGGCCGGTTTACGGACTGCCCATGCTTCTACTGAAGTGGTTGTGGGAGGGTATCGGGAACGATGGCGAAATACCACCGATCACGGTATTCTGGACGTTGCGAGCGCTGATGTTTGTTATCAGCTTCGTCTTGGAGGATTGGGCTATTCATGAGCTAGTCCAGTCACGGCGACATCGCAACACCGCCTTATTGTTGGTAGGATCATCCTACGTGACATGGACTTTTCAAACTCATACTTTCTCTAATTCGATCGAGACACTTGTCGTTATGTGGTGCCTAGTGCTTGTTGAGCGCATTCTCGAGGCTTCGGTAAGTTGCGCCCTCCAAATTCTAGTCGTGTCCGGATTTATAAGCTAACTCTTAAGTAGGCGCAAACATCCGCCCTGGCGGCGTCGACGGTGCTTGGTGTTGTAGCCGTCTTTGGTGTTTTTAATAGGATAACTTTTCCTGCATTCTTGCTTATTCCTGGACTTCGATTGATACCCCATTTTATACATAGGTAAGTCTCATTATTCCCAGACTGTTCCTCATGCCTCATGCCTTTTGGGCGTTGATCTGCTAGCTGAGTCGCTAACTTATTTTTGAAGACCTTTATCCCTTGTCGCTATGGCAGCGTCAGGGCTCTTTACAGTTTTAATTGCTATTTCTCTTGATACAGCATTCTACACCCCGCGCTCTATTACGTGGTCAGATCTCTACCGTAATCCTGTTATTACGCCCTTAAATAACCTGCAATACAACCTCTCGCCCTCGAATTTAGCGGAGCACGGGTTGCACCCTTGGTACCAACATCTCTTAATCAACCTCCCACTGCTTATAGGGCCTGCCGTGGCTCTTTTGTTCGCAAAACCACACCTGTCGCTCAGGCTGTACTCGGCGATATCAGGCGTGTTGGTTTTATCCATCTTTCAACACCAGGAAGCACGATTCTTGCTGCCAACGGTACCCCTTTTGCTCTCGTCCTTAAAGCTCCCGAAGAAGTCCACGTATCGAAAAATCTGGATTGCCGCCTGGGTTGGCTTCAATGTGGTCCTTGGCCTTCTTATGGGGGTATACCATCAGGGTGGTATCGTACCAGCTCAAGTATTCTTGAGCAAACAACCAGACGCAACACAAGCGATATGGTGGAAAACCTATATGCCGCCAATATGGCTTCTGAACGGTAAGAACGAGGTTCTGAAGACTAGGGACGTAGCGGGGATGGAGGGACCCCTATTATTTGAGGAGTTGACGCAGATAGCAACCTGCGACACACCAGCCGACCGGAGGAACCTTGAATATCTCAAGGAGCCAAACGGCACATACTTGATCGCGCCGCTCTCATCAACGTGGCTCGATCCATACTTAGACAACAAGGGTTTAGAAGGGCTACGGTTTCGGGAGGTTTGGCGGCATAACAAGCATTTAAACTTGGATGACTTAGACTGGGCGGAAGACGGGTTCTGGCCTACACTGCAAAGGGTAGTTGGTAGGCGAGGTTTGGCGGCTTGGAGGGTTACTAAGAGCTGCGGTCCTCCACTGCGGTGACGATAAAATCAAAAATATAATATAACATTTCTATCATGACATCTCTCGCATATCCATTTGTGAGACAGCGTTATTTTCGGGGGTAAGAGGTACCTTCGGTTTGTACCATATCCCTCTAGGCGGCTGTAGGTAGCACAAGGAAAAATGGATATCCCGATGCAGCTACCCGGCTCTAATGCGGGTATGAATTGAGCCAATCAAAGCCAAGGCGCTTTAGTATATCGAAATTCGAAAGCTTTAATTGGAAGCTTCCCAAGTGCGACTACTAGACAATTTACACAACAAAGGCTCTATTCCATATGTGATCAGGTTGATTTTATGTCTATACCTCATTGACAAGAGCCGAAGTCCCTTCAATTCAACCGAAGCTATTCGCAATGGGCGGCCTAAACCTAGAAGTTTTCAAGGTGAGCTCCCAACCCAACTAAACTAATTACCCCTCCTTGCCATGTTTTTTTGTCTGGTTCGCAGGCATACTTACCGTCACCATATATAGTTCGGCATGTACGTCATGTTCCCGATCGGCATCATGTATTATTTCGGCACGAACCTCGACGAGCGCTTTGCCGTCCCCGAATTTTGGCCCAAGGCCGAGCAGGCGAACAAGGTACCCATGGACCGAGACGAGATCCACGCTGAACTGCAGCGATTGCGCGCGCGACGGCTGTATCTCAGGGACAAGAGGCTCGAGAATGAGGCGCGGCAGGCGCCACAGCCTGGGAGCGAGGAGCAGGAGTAGCCGTGTCAGACAAGACTCTAGGCCTTCAACATAGGCAATGAAGGGAAATATATGTATGATGCATTGGCTTCGACGGCGTTTAGGTGGATGGGATTGGAACATGATCACGCGACCATTACATGCTTTGGACTTTGGACTTGACTCGAGCACTAGGCGACAAGGCCAGTCTCTCCACTCCTCGTAAAGACGGAAATCAAATGGGGACTGTTGCACGATGCAACATGTACAATAGTCTACATTAGGCATGCCTATCAACCTAGGTACACATTGTATAAACATCACAGATTACGTGTCGAGGTTATCTTCTATTCTCGTCCAAAGATCTTTGGATATCTCTCCTTGTTCGACATTCGCACTATAGATTTCTAGGGTTAATACTAATTATCTTGTTGAGGGTGTTGGCAGTGAAGTATTCGGGGGGTAGGCTTACTAGACTCCTTGCACGTCTGGATATTCTTGTAGCGCTGTTAGGAAGGTACTTATGTTCGTTGCCGCCTCCTCGTCGTCAAGCTTCACTTTGTCCCCTATTGGCGACCATATAATTTCACAGCTTAAGATTTCGGTAGATAGCGCTTGGCTTAGGTTCTGCGCTATTTGGTGTGTAGTATTCGGCTGCGTATGGAGGACCGCGTTGCCCTTCTTGTCCTGCTCGACGTCCTCAGCGCCGGCCTCGACCGCCTCCATTAACACCTCATCGAAGTCGTCGTCTTTGTCGCCCTTTAGGACGACGCGGCCAAACCTAGCGAATAGGAATGCGGTCGGCGTTACGGTACCATTGTGCTTTTTGACTATGACCCTAAGGTCCTGCAATGCGCGCTGCTTGTTGTCCGTCGCGATGTCGATAACCATGGCTACAGCTGGTGGTATCATAACTTCGAGCGTCATGGTTTCAAGTCCTGCCCCGGACGACGATTTGCCTTGACCTCGTGCTATGGCTATGTCTATGCTGGCTTTCGGCATGCCGGCTATGACCGTGATGTTTGTTAGAATCTGTTTTCGCATTGCTCTCGTAGTCTTTATATGTTTTGGACTCATCTCCCGCCTTGTTGATATACTAAATACCTTTCTTTGCGGCCGCGACCACAGTAGCTAGTCGCGCATTGAGACTCGGATCTGGCCCATACACTATCTTGCACTCCATCAGCGCTCAGGTCGGGACTGACGACTATCATGTAGGATACGAACGTTGTGACCAGAGGGTCAGATTCTTAGCGAAGCCACTTCGCTGGGCATTTTTCTTCGCATCGGCGGCGCCTTTTTCGTGCTTGATTTTGGACCAGCGATTGTGACCGCTGTTAAGCACCGCGCTCGAAGCGAAGGACCGGCGACATTGGGCGCATATGGTGGAGGTAATCGACCTCGGCGCAAGACTTCGACCGGGGAATAAGAACAGATGGATGGACATTTCGAAAGAGAGCTATGGCTACCTCATATAAATGCACTCTGGATGTCGAAGTCGATATTGAAGTACCTAGCTTTAATAGCTTTATTTTTGATGGGGCTAAACCTAATTTAGAAAGGTTTAAAGGTTATTTTCTTGAAGTGATTGAAGCTATGTAATTGGCAGATAATCCATACAAACCCAATATTGCTATTGCCTGTGATTGGCTATTGGACTCGTTACTGCCAAATACTACCATTATGCCATACCCCTTTGAAGTCAGGTACGCTCCAATACATAGTACATGCATACATGGAATACTGCCTTCCACGTGCCTTCGATATCCCGTAATTAGGTACATACTTATTCACCTTCACATTTCGATAGCACATGTTTTAATCGCGACTCTTCCGGTCTAGTCTTCATTTATTCACCGCCGTCGAAACCATCCTTCTTTTATGCGCTTCAATAGAACATCTATGATTTTCCATGTCAGCGCCAAGTTCCCCCCCTCGAGAGTCTAACGGCATCTCTCAAGCCGCAGCGCCTGCGCGCGCTTCCTTGACTACCACTTCCAATCCGGAACTCGACCTTCAGAAACTCCAATCCCTTCCCCCCGAGCAGCAGGATCTCTTCCTACTGAACTTCGTATCATCTTTAAGCAAACATGTCCATAGCTTGTCGAATGATGATTGCACTGCCCAGCAGTTCTACCTCAAGAAAGAGGTCTTCCAGATAATCAACCTGTCCACGCCCTCCCCTAGCCGAGTAATAAGGGTCAATCTTGGCAAGATACTTGCCTACTTCCTCGGGAATGGAGATAGGAAAATACTCTTCGATACTATAAACGAGCTAGTCTCTATAATATCCACCGGGAAATCCAAGACCGAAAATGAAGTTCGAACCAGACACGCTGCTATTAGTTGCTTGGGCGATGTGTACGCATCTGCCGGTGACAGCGCCATTGGCCTGCACCCATTAGCCTGTGGTGCCCTCGTCAAGCTGCTCAAATCGTCACAAAGTCATGCTGGGTTACGCGCTGCCGTGCTTATTTCCTTGAATAAGATTGTAGGCATGGTGCGATCGAGCTTAGATGAGAGCATAACCAGGGATATTTGGAAGCAAGCGCGGAATGCCGCCTCTGGCGACAAGGGTTCTCTAACGGTCGTGTCCGCTTGCCGTTGTCTAAAGTCGTTGACCAGATATACTTCGTACTTTGAGAACTCGGGCGATTTCGAGAATCTGAAGTCGACTCTCTTTAAGACCATTGATTCTAATTCCTCACATGTAAGACACGCCGCTGCGGACTGTTTGGCCGAAGCTATGGTGAAAAGCCATTCCGAGTCCGCACTGGCGGGGATATCGAAAAACAAGAAGTCCAAGTCCAAAGCTAGTAAAAGGGCTTCTATCCAGCCGGGCATTGGGCTGGAAGAAGATGATGATATTCCCTCACGACCAGGCAGCCCAGCGCCTGGCAAAAAAAGCCAGGTTCTTGTTTTGTCGCTAAGTGACATTTTTAAGACTCTTACGACTCAGTACGTTAGACTATCTACTACCAATAGAGCTAGGGCAGCCATTGGTGTTTGTTATGGAAGGGTTTTAAAACGATTAGGAGAGAATTTTGTCGAAAAGAATTATTTGAGAATCTTGGAGAGCTTAACTATCGACTTATTAGGCCATCAGAACATAGTCAACAATCGATATAGACTCCTCATCTCGCGTCGAATTGTCGATACGGTCCTCCAGGTTGTAATAGGTCGCAAGATACTTGGGGAATCAGGTCAGACGACTGTGGCTAAAGTGCTCGTCAACGATGTTTTTAAGAACTATCCCCAAACGCTCAAAGAGCGACCTGAGCCGACGAAGCATACCCTGATTGCAGCTCTTAGTGCAGTTGCGTCGCTTATGAAGTCGCTTGGATCTGCCGCGAATAATTTCGCAGAACCCTGCCGAGATGGACTATTGCAAGTGCTCCAGCATCCCAGTTATAGTGTTCAGGTGTCTGCTTCATTTTGCATGAAAACCTTCGTTCTTGCGTGTCCACAGCAACTCCTACCTTGCTTGTCTGTTTGTATGAACAGTCTTAGCAGGGAGTTGTCCTTACTCGGAGGTGCGCGAAACTCTCCGAGAAGATGTGTTGGATTCGCTCATGGATTGGCTGCAACCCTGAGTGCCAGCCCATCTCGCCCATTACATGGCTCCCTTGATATCAACAACCGGGTCTACTCCATGGCTACCAACCTGCTTAAGTCCAGTGGTCAGTCCGAGCTTCGTGTCTCGAGCACGCAGGTCCAGGTTGCGTGGATCCTCCTCGGGGGACTTATGTCGCTGGGACCTAATTTCGTCAAGATTCATCTCTCACAGTTACTTGTTCTCTGGAAAAATGCCCTGCCAAAGCCGTTGGCGAAGGATAATTTTGCTCATCGTAACATCTTAGAAGTTTCATACTTAACTCACGTCAAAGAATGCGCATTGGGTTCTATTCTATCGTTCCTTCAGTTCAACAGCCGCTTGTTAACCGTTGATGTATCGAAACGCATCGCCACGATGCTTCAAAATACCAGCGTGTTTCTTAAGATGCTACCCTCGAAGAAAACTACTGATGATATTTCTCAAAGGTTGACTCCTGCTTTGCAGCTGCATGACCTTGACATGATGGTCCAGCGACGAGTTTTACAGTGCTATACTATGCTGGTGAACCAAAGTCCAGCCGGAGGAAGCGAGTCGCTTTTACAATCCAATCTCCTTACCCTAGCAATATCCCTATTTGCCGACCCCGAGAATTACGCAGCTAATACCCTAAGTGCATCTATTGCCAACGCTGCGGGGACTTTTGAGACTATCTGGGATGTTGGAGACAATTCCGGCTACGGCGTCAACGACCTAGTTCGCGGTTTCAAAGTCAAGAGGCTCCCTGGAGAGAAGGATGATTCGGATGATAAGCCAGAGACAGACGAGCCTAATCCAGATGAAATTATTGACGACCTGCTTCTGTCGCCAATCTGCTCATCGCTGGAGCATGATGCCGCTGTGCTCTACGTCGGCGAGCAAGACTTATCCACGGATCTCCCAGCACCCCCTGCTACTGAGGTAGTTAATATGGCAATTCAGCTATTTGCGTTCGTCTTTCCCCTTACACCAGCCAAAGTACAGGAGAGCGTTCTCGAACAGATTGCCACGTTCACTTCGGCTGGTTCTTTACAGCGCGACCTCGGCCGTAAAGCAGCCATTACTGTGAACGTTGCCAGTGCTCTGTTCCTCACTCTAAAGGTTGCCGTGAAGGAGACTCAGTCGCCAGCCGGCAATCTTACCAACATAGCAGTGGAAAAGCTCGTACAAGAAATGACTAGGAGCTTCGTAGTTGATCCGGACCAGTACATACGCAGCCTAGGTTATGGTGCTATTGCCCGTCTCTGTAACGCATGTGGCAATGCGTTTACAAACCACGAGATTAAGCATTTAGTCGACACTATTGTGGGCAATCGGGAACCTAGCGCTCGAGCAGGGTGCGCCATGGCTCTGGGTTCTATCCAGTCGAAGGTAGGTGGCATGGGTGCTGGGTACCATCTCAAGACAATCACTGGTATCCTGATGTCTCTGTGTAATGATCCGCATCCAACAGTGCACTACTGGGCCCTCGAGGCTCTCGCTGATGCCGCCGACGCTACGGGCCTCGGCTTTTCGCCGTATATCTCTGGATCACTCGGAATGGTCTCTCAACTTTACCTTTCGGAAACTCACCATTCCGAAGTATCTTCCCCTATCTCTATGAGCTTGGAGATGGAGTTATCGACTACGGCAGCCATCACGCGTTGCGTTGACACTCTGATCAACGTCGTGGGACCGGACTTGCAAGATTCCACCAAATCACGCGAGTTGATTCTCACTCTTGTCGACCAGCTACAGAGCGAGGAGGATATTCTTGTACAGCGCGAAAGCTTGGCGTGCTTGGAGCATCTGTCCCTATACGCTCCTGGGCACATGGTATTCAGCGATTACGTCAAAACATTACAGAAGTATCTCAACTCCGAATTTCCCATCCTTCGCGACGTTGCGGTAGACGGTCTTTACAATCTGATGAAGAGGAATTCTCTCGATGTTCTGGAAGCAGCCAATCCAGGCTTTGAGGACCAACTATGGCTCGTGCTAGATGTATCTCCTAGCCACGACGGAATTCGCAATGTTATCCGAAACTGGCTACGCCAGACTTCGTTAACAGAAACCGGCGCTTGGCTCCTCCGTTGCCAGAATGTTCTCAAGATGACCCGACCAAAAGCTGCCGAGGAGACACACGACGCCAACCGGAAACCGACTGCCACTATCGATCTACAGGACGAAGAAGTTGCTGGCTTCGCTGCAGCCGCCGGCACCGCTAAGGATGATAAAGACTCGCCTTCAAATTCCGAAATGGAGCCTTTGCGCTGGCAAGTTAGGACGTTCGCAATGAGTTGTCTCAACGAAATATTTACGATGATTGGGAAAGACGTTGCCACAAATGGCGAGTCACCTGCACAGTCTGCCCTCCAGGCTAGAATCGCCGACGTTATCCGTATGGCTTTCTCAGCTTCGACGTCTAGTGTGTTAGAGCTAAGGATATGGGGGTTGAAGATAATCGGTGCCGTCTTGAGAATGTTTGGCAAAACACCGGACCCTGACTTCGAGGAAGCAATGCTGCTCGAACAATACCAGGCACAAATCAGTTCGGCGTTGACGCCTGCTTTCGCTGCAGATTCATCTCCTGAATTGGCTGCGGAGGCCGTTAATGTGTGCGCCGCGTTCATCTCCACGGGTATCGTGACGGATGTCGATCGCATGGGTCGTATCTTAAAGACACTTGTTACCGCCCTTGAGAACTTCTCTACGGAAACAGAGAACGCTGGGATTGGTGACCTCAAGGGTCTCAGCTCTAACGCCCAGGTAATGGTTAAGATGTCGGTTTATTCGGCATGGGCGGAGCTTCAGGTAGCCAGCTCGGAACAGAAGTATTTACTCAATGTATTAAAACCTCACATCGGCACTCTGACGCCGTTGTGGCTGGCCTCGTTGCGGGAGTTTGCTCGGTTGAGGTTTGAACCAGATATCTCGATGACGTTGGGTCCCCCGTCTATGTCGGGTAGTCTCGATACCATTTATGCGGCCCTCAACCGCGAGACGCTTCTTAAATTTTACCAGGAATCCTGGTTGAAACTTGTCGACGCTATTGCGAGCCTCATTGAGCAAGACAGTGAATTCGTTTTCGATGCTTTAGACGGGAAGGAAGCTGACGCGTCAGGTACTAATGGGCAATCTAAGAGCGCTGATATTAATTATCGTGACGAACCGGTCGCTTTCTTCTTCGTCCTCTTCGGCATCGCTTTTGAAGCGCTTGCAACCAAGTCGAACCAAGTCGATTCCTTGGCTACTCAGGAACAAACTCTCGAGATACTGCAGGCTCTTAAGAAGATCCTACATCCGAGCGTTTCGGGCCATGCTATCTACCGAGAGGCAATCTTCTCCGAGACGATGGATTTATTGGACCGCCTCGTGCTGACAGAGGGCCTTGATGTTCAGGGAGTTATAGTCGAAATCGCGCGCGCCCTTTGCGTTGCTCATCCTTCAGCAAGGAAACAGGAGCAGCAAGACGACGGCGACTTAAGCGAAGACATTGAGCAGCTATTCGAGCTCACTAGGATCATCGTTCTAGTGCTATCCGGGCTATTGCCTAATTTGACCGAGACGAATCAGCCAGTGCGCCATCATCTGACCGAGGAGGCCGTCCTTCTCGTACGGACCGGGTTAAATGCCATGGTAGATGCAGCAGAAGTGTTCCCAGCAATCATCAAGACGGACTTGCATGCTTGTATAATCCATATCTTCGCTACCATACTAGCGACGCCCTCCTGCCAAGAGATCATCGTCCCGCAAGCTCTTCCCATATTTAAAAGGTTCATGGCGACCATGTCTAGTTCTCACGGCTCAGCAGAGGCGAAATCTGCTACCGACGTGCAAGTAGAAGGTTGCCTACGCCGGTACTTATCCATCTATCTGAATGCGCAGAAGCGCGAGACGCCTACTTCTCTGCAGTGTGTCAAGAACTGTCTACTCGCAATTACAATACTCTTTACAGGGGGGAGCAATCGTCTTGCGGCTAACGACCGCCTCGTGGCGAAATATCTCGACGAATTGGTGGATTGTCTAACAGACCGCATGGTAAGACCCCCTAGAATTCTACGTAGTCTTCTCGTGGACATCGCTAACTATATTGTAGACGGCTAAGATCGCAGCAAACTGCATCCGATCTCTCCTGCTGCAGCCATCCCCTTCACCTGCTGACCAGTCCATCGCCCGCTATCTCCTCCCCCGATTAGTCGCCTTCGTAGTCGACACAGAACCAGAGGACCCAGAAGACGCGCGCAAGCTCGTGGCGCAGTCTCTAACGCAGTACGTAGCCACCCTAGGTAACGGACACGCGCAGATCGCCATGTCCATCGTCGTGCCGACGCTGCTTTCCCGCGCGGCTAGCGAGGGCACAGACGTGTACCACGAGACGAGCGCAAGACTGTTGGAGTTGGCATCGGCGGACCAGGCGGGGTTCAGGGGCGTGGTGGCGGCGATGAACGAGGGGCAGAAGGCATTTATGGAAGAAGTGATTCGGTCGGGTCGGCAGAGCGGTGGGCCGGCGAAGAGCTCGAGTACCCAGGGCCAGCCGAGTATTGCGTTGAAGATGGACTTTGGGGGTTAAAGGATTGGGAGAACCTGATACGAGTTGCACGTTTGGAAGGAAGACACCGTGAAAAGTCACATCTACTGTAATGCTTCACGAGGTTTATAGCAGGTTAGGTATTATGAAGCTAAAAAACTACGTTTGTTACATAGTAACTACACCACATCAAAACGAGTATATAGCCCCTATAGCAAGCGAGGGAGTTACTTGTAAGAAATAATAACAATAACAATGTCACGATCCCATTACAGACACACAGCAATGCAGAATTCGGCGTGGTTCCTCAATCTTGGTATATATAAGCCCTATTTATACTTTCAATAGCTCTCATCATCATTATCATCATCAAAATGACCAAAGAAAGTAGCTCACTCATATCCGTCAGATAAGAGCAACAGTTAACGAACTAGCCATATTTCCTTTCTCTCACACTCCTTCCCCCCCCTTTTCTTCTCATATAACTTCTTCCTATCCCTATAAACCCACATCCTCCGTACAACTAACCCCAGCTTAGGGGCTTAAAAGCCATCCAGCGGCTCGAGCAGATCCAGATCTATCAGCTGCATGCGCAGGTCTAAGTCTAGGTCTAGAATCGAGATGAGCGGACATTTGGTCGGTAGATTGGGATCGCGCTCTTTGAGAATGGACATGTCGAGGGGTGATGAGGCGCGTGTTGATGGGGTTGACGATATGGATGTCGTTGTCGATGTTGATGTCGATGTCGACACTGCCATTGATGTGTCTGTATCTAATTCCGTCTCCGTATCTGCGTCTGCGTCCGTTGACAGAGAGAAGGAAGAAACATCACTATCTCCGAAAGAAGTAGTTCGTCCCCCCGCCTTCTCCCGCTTCTGCGCGCAGTCGTAGCAGTCTTCGTCTAGCGGCGTAATAGTAGGTGTGCTCTTGGGGCCGTAGCACCGACGACGTCGACGGGGACGGTTCCGACGGGAGTGGGGGTTAGCAGCTAGGCTGGAGAACGTGGATGCGGTATCCGGGCACTCGAAGGTGGTGGTGTGGGTGCAGCCGCAGCGGTAGGCGAAGTGGACTGTTGAGCACATGGTGAGCTGTTTGGGTTTGGGTTTGGGTTTGGACTTGATAGGGAGTTTGTGAGAGGTGGGTTTTGATCCAAGTCTGGGCTTGAGGCGTAGGGGCAGTTGCATTTGCATGGTTTGGGATGGTGGTGGCATGGTGGATGATGAATTGATTGGCAGCTCGGTGAAGGAGTGAAGCAGTAAAAGAGTCAAGAGTCAAGAGTTAAGAGTGGAGTTGCAAGGTAAAGAGAAAGAGAAAGAGAAAGGGGAAGGAGAAGGTGAGTGTGAAACGGGATGAGAGCAATTATTGGAAGGAAGTAGGCGGTAGGCGGTATGAATGACACTAGTATCTCCTACCTTGACGTCGTTGGTCCCTTCCTCGAGTCGAGAATGATGTAGATGCCCTAGGAAGGAGGAGATAGCTAACATTAATATCAGGAAGGTGCTCACGAGAGCCTCACGAGGTACACTGCCGGTTGCTGCCAGTTGAATCAACATTAGCTTTGCTCTTATTTTAGTCTTTTTAGCATTTTCCCCAAAATAAAGTCGTCAATATTTCCATCCACATTTTCCGGTCCAAACATATGCGGCTACTCACAAAAGAGAGAGCCTATATGGCTTTTCGTAAGGAAGCAGTAATTCGATCTCATTCTTTCCGAGAGTAGTTAGTCATATATAAGCGCAAGACCTTGCCCTGTTTCGCAGCTTAAATATGCCTCTTCACAAAAGAACCTCTTTATACGTGAATAGTGTTTGACATTTAAGCCACTGATGCTTTTTGATTAGCTAACATCTAGGCTATATTGAAAAGTAGAGAGCCATTAAGAGTATTTCATGATACCTCCTAAACGCAGACGCGTGAAATACCTACCCCCCCTTAACCCGCCTAACCTCCCGTCTTAGGAATTGCCGTCGCCAGCACAACCCCCTTAAACCCTCTAAAACCCATGAAACCTCTCTACCCAAGCCCTATCGCGACGCTCTTCGCGAACCCGGCCACGGTATCGGCAATCCAGGTAATTGTCTCTTCTCCGTTCCCAGATGGCCCTTGTCGAAACTGCTCCCCCGACTAAGAGGCCGCGCAGTCGGCAATGCCTTTCGCCCCGAGGATGGTACTTTATCCCCGCGGTCTTCTCCGTCTTTGTCATGTTCCTCTCCTGCGTGCGTAATTCGCGACAGCGGGGGTAAGGAGGGCTCCTCGGGCCGTCGAGATTTTAATAACGACTTGGCCTCGAGTTGTTCTAGGGACACGTCCGTCTGTCCGGTGCGCACCTTGTAACTAGCCAGGCCGAGTCTTAGTCGCAACATCTCTGCTTTCTATATATAGCGTTAGTTAACTGCTCTTTTTTATCTTTCCTCTTTCCTATGATATTCTTGATTTCTAATTCGGAACTTACCTGTCGAGCTTCCTCCCGAGTCATAGTTGATCGTCTTCGAGCCGGCGCCGGCGGGGTTGGTGGGGCTGGCGCAATAACTTCTATGTCCCGCTCTGTTACTGCTATTTCCAGAGTCATGTCGATGACGGAGTTGTCTAGGAGCAATGACTCTTCTTCTAACGGTTTAGATTGCTGACGTTCAGCTTCTTCTGCTTCTTCTCGAGAGTCCTAATCCACCACCAGATTAGCCATGTCGTTCAATGTAGGATGATACACGACATGCATACCCTTTCAGGACGGTGTTCCTCATCTATAGGCATAATACGTTCAACTTCCTCTTCTCCAACAGAGAGGCGTTGCTTCTTGGTCGGTGGTGTAGGTGGATGCTGTTGATGCTGTTGATGCTGGCTCACGGCTTCATGATCGAGAGGCCTCTTAACGGCACTGTTCATTGTGCTCGGGGTGGGTGAGAGTGCCAAAATTTTAGATTCTTGGAGCTTTGAAGCAGAAACTGGGCTTCTAGCATTAGCATCGATAGAACCCAAGACGCGTCTCTTGCTCGGCGAGGAATCCATCTTGTGCATAGAGCATAAGATTTGATAAGTATTTGAAGCTGCGATGGTGGGATGCCGGTATTCTGTAATTTGTAATAGTAAGAGTGTAATAGTAAATACCGTTAAATATTAACAAAAAAAAAACCGTTGAATCTTTGCTAGAATGGAAAGGATAATAAAGATCAACCATAGACGCGAAGTTGTCACGAAGTTGGCACGAATTGTTAAATCTAGTAATTTTGGCCGTTGGGATCTTGGTTGATATAAATGTAATGAGGGTCTCGTAGATTCGCGCGCGCGCTTCGACCCGCGTCGCAGTCCCTCAATGCGAAATGACTTAAATTATGCTCTCTTATGTATCCCTTGTGCACTATTATTGCCTACTATTTTATTGACTTATTACCCTTTTCGGCCTGGACGATCGCTGTGCATAATTTAAGGTTGATGCAACTCTACGCCATCAAGGGATCCTTGCTACCCGTCAGGTACCATCATTGATACCTATCAGGTACCATATCTGCATCTCTCTAGGTACATTTTACCCCACCATTCCTACATCCCGCACATCCCGCACATCCCCTACAATCTAGTGACACTACCTAATATCATATCACCGCATGTAAAACTAAACGCTTCGTACCGGCACCAGCAAACACGCTTTTCAAACTCATCAAGACTACTGTACTTCAGAACAAAAACATTATAACTGTTCACCGGTCTTTTCATTGGGGTATCGTGACGCTGTCCAGCTCTATATAGTAGCTGCTATCTTAAGAGCAATGAAATGCTCGAACTAATTCTACTGGCCAACCTGTCAAAGAGACTTTTCCCCTGTCCTATCCCGCTAGGCCTCCTTAGACCCCGACTCCGCGAATATACCAGAAGTAAATCGGGAACATACAATAAAAAACCCCGAACGCCCCGGCCAAGCCCTTCCTTACCTGGCCGAACTCGTATAGACTTGCCTGCCCTTGCCAATGCCTCATTATTCATTGTGAGGGTTAAAAAATGGGAAATATTAAAGAACTCTAGTCCACCGCTCCTTCATGTCGTCTCGAGGGAGTAGAAACTGGTGTCTAATGTGAACTCCTTCGTAAAATCGGGGTTCACGTCGTCCCACGAGAACAACGGCATCGTATTTTCATCCGTAATACCCAGGTCCATCCCGGTCATGTTCATGTCGGTAGAGTCCAAGTCATTCTGCCCGATTCCGAATGGCTGCCACTTGTCGAACCCCATGTTCGGGTCGGGCCCCACATTCAGCTGCAGATTAAGCGACACGCCTTCCGAGACGTCGCTATTCGGTTCCGAACTTGCGCTATCCTTGCTCGACTCTGGTGTGTCGTTTGGCGTTATTGCCCGGTACACCATCATGTCGAAAATAGCACCTCCGCCGCCACTTTCGATACCCCCCAGGTTCTGGAGCAGATCTTGTGGGTCTATAGTTGTCATCGGCCACGCTCCATCTGCGCCAGACGTCTTTGCAGACGCTATAGTACCATCTCCACTCTGAGTTCCGACGTCGGGCTTCGGCGTGCTAGTCTTTCCAGCCATCGTCTTAACTAGGTCCGTGGGTTTGGCACCCGCGGCGCTACATTGCCTCTTCATCGACGGTTCGCGGGACATCGGCGTCGCATCGGCTCGGCTCGCCGGCGTTTGACCCTGCTTCGAGGGATCGAGTGTCATCGGAGGGGCCGTTGTCGAGGCGTTTGGTGGCGCCTTCGGGTGGCCATCCGGATCTAATCCGAGCCTAGTAGCAAGGTTCTCGGTCATGAACTTGAACGGATCCTGCAAGGGCTTCACGTGCTCCTCCTCGATATGGTTTCGTCGAGCCTCTTCAGTAGCAAAACCGGTACTGTGTGCCTCACAGCTTGGCTCGGGACACTGGTATGCTAATTTGGGCGTTGTGTGTTCTGCCGGCGTCTGTCGCTTGACTAACTCTGGGGACGATGCCTTTTGAACTTGGGGAGATGAACTCGCGCTCACGCCGCCCGAACCAAGACCTGGTTGGCCACTGGTTTTGGGTCTCTTGCGAGCGGGTAGTTGGAGGTCAGCTTGGGTAACAGCAGGTTTCCCAATATATGTAGGCTGACCGTTAGGTGACTGGGCGCCAAAGGGGAAAGGAGGTTGGGAGGTAGTTGGCGCAGCCGGTGGTTGTCCACTCTTGCTGGCGGTTCTTTGGTGTATTTTGTTCAACGCATTTTGCTTCTCGAGGTTGGCAGCGTTTAACGGCGTCGGTGCTCCCATCGGTGGTGTTGCGGTGTTTTCGCTAACCCCCTGCTGAGGTCCCGATTCCGGGGCATGTTGCTGTTGGGTAGCATTTCTCTTCATAACTTGCGGATACTGGTTGGCCACGTCCCTAGCCATGCCCTCCAGCATCGCTCTTACGCTATCCAGCTCATTCGGTTTCAGGGAGAATGCCTTCTTGAGAGTTGTCATCTTCTCGCCATCTGCGAATTGTTTACCCAGGCGGAGTCGCTAAAATGACGTTAGTTATCGAACTTTATGAAACGTTTCATTGCTCAAACTTACCATTTTGAAGAACATCCTAGCGCGGTTATCATCTCGTGTTAGAGTATACCACCGTCCTAAAATTTTGCTGACCTTGCCCATTTCGCTGACCATAGACTGGATCTTTTGAGCCATATCTTGATATTGTTCCGGGTTCATCGGGATTTCCTGGTACGGCTCTCTAGCCGCATTCATGTGTTCCTCTTGACCAATAGATTTCAGATGCTGCATTGCCTCAGACATTTGCGGCTGCTGTGCACCAACACCTCCAGCCGCCACCGCCGCCGCCGCCGCCTGTCGGGCCTTCATCATGGCCTCGTATTTGTTCCTTTGCTCAGGCGGAAGAGCGGCAAGTTGAGCGGGTGGAAGATGGAATTGTGGTAAAGGCCCGGTGGCCTGAGCCTGTTGGGACGCTGGACGCTGGACTGGAGTGCTCGACGGGTTCGGCACTTCGACTACATCATCCGTGCTCGCACGCTTTAGACTATTCTTCTGAGGGGCGGTCGAGGTCGAAGGCGGCGGGCGATTATTTTGAAGTTGCCTATTCCTTGCGGGCGCCGTAGGGCCTGTAGAATTAGCATCAGGTCCCGCATTTTGCGGTCTTTGCTGGAGGGTGCTTGAAGGATTCGGCGGCGGGGCTGATATGGCAAGGTTGTTGTTGGCTGGTTGAGAGGTCTGGGGTGTCTGCATTTGGGCATTGGGTGCCTGTCCGTTTGCTTTGGCTCTTATTTGAGCTAGCTTCATTTGCATGAGAGCCGTCTTGATCTTCTCATCTGGCAAGCCCTTGAACCTATCGTGATTTTTAGCCTGTTGCAATTCGGCGGGACTAATCGTAATGCCCGCAAAGGGGCCCATGTTAACACCTGGCTGCATAGGCATCTGCACATTTGGGATTTGCGGTCCCTGCTGCGGCATGTTAGGCTGGGGGGCCATCTGGTTATTTGCCGCCCTTTGCTTCATCATGCTCTGGAACTGTGCAGTCTGGAAACCTAGTAGCTGTTGCATGACATGGGGACTGGCATTCTTCTGGGCGAGCCACTGTTTGAGGTGAGTCCACTTCTTGATCTCTTGTGGCACTGGCTGGTTTGTTTTCAGCTGGTCCAGTATTCTTCCTGGTACGTCCATGCCATCCATATAATTATTCACGTCCTGGGGCATTTGAGGCCGATTTTGGGGCTGCATGCTCCTCATCCTGTTCATCTGCTGCTGAAGCAGCATTTGGTTCTGAGCATTCGCCTGCATGCCAGGATTGGGTGTTTGGCCCATATTATTTCCTGGGCCAAATTGAGCCATGGGGTTACCCTGTCCGAACTGGCCTGGCTGAGGCTGACTGCGTCCAGGTGCCTGACCCATCCCCGCCCTCGCAGCCGAATTAGCAGTCCATTTCATCAACACCTCACTCCTCTTCTCCGGTGGCAAGCTCATAAATGTATTACGCTGGTCGGGTGCCATTTGGGCAAGGACACTGTTGAGAATGTGCTGATTATTCATTGGGTTGCCACCCATCTGCGGCCGCTGATTGCCCTGGTTGAAACGCGGGTCTAGCCCTTGTCCGAAAGGCCCGTTGGGTTGACCCATTTGCTGCTGCCCTTCCGGCTGGCCCATGACTGGAGTCCGGCGAACTGGTGTGTTCAGAGTGTTCATGCCAGGACTCTGAGAGATGGCACCACCGTTTAATCCACCGGGCTGGCCCTGCATTTGTTTAGCCTGGGCCTGCGCTCTAATCTGCGCCTGCGACTGGGCTGCCCTTTGGTCCATCTTTAACTGTTGGGCTTGTGGCAGGTTGAACTGTTGTGGCATTTGATTAGGGATACCGGGCTGGTTAGGTCCAGGATGGTTACCAGGATTAGGGCCTTGCATTCCGCCCATAGGTTGAGGTGTGGCATTCCGTCCAGGTCCATTACTCGCTGGCACCACCATCTGCCCTGCTTCCTGGGCGAGTAGTCCTGCCTTCTGCTGGTTCATGATGCTCTCGACGTTCGAAAATGGACCAAACTCGCTATTGGGAACCCCGACTAACTGTTGCCCAGACTGGTTCATCTGTCGCTGCTGGGCCTGCATCTGCAACGCGGCTTGATTGCCACCATTACCACCTCCCTGTCCCTTAAACGCCTGTAACATCTGGATCTGTAAATAGAATAGAAGTGGGTCCTGGTTCTCTGCCTGCAACTGCGCCATCTGCTGGGGGGTGAATCTCTGTTGAACTATATTACGCAACGCATTCCGCTGTTGTTCCGAAGTTTGGTTCAATTTCGCCAGAGCCAATTGCATAATTTTCGTCCTATCTTGGGGCGGTAGACTTGCCAAAGTTGCATTCATCGGTAGCTGAGGACGCATCTGTGCTACACCCATCTGCATTTGCTGCTGATTTGGGTTCATGGGGAGGCCGCCCTGACCCCCCATACCCATCCCCGGTTGATGAGGCTGCTGGGGAATCGGTGATGGTTGCATCTGTTGTTGGAGATGCTGGAAGCCCTGCTGTGGTGGTTGCCCCATACCCCTGGGCATCATGTTCTGGTTCATTAGCATCTGCTGCGTCTGAGCATGGGCTTGAGCAGCGGCCTGGGCATTCAGGGTACTTTGGAGACTCTGCTCATGCGCTTGCCGTCGTTTGAAGAGCTCCTGAACGCGACCACCAATCTTCTGATCGTAAGTTCCCTAGACAAAACATTAGTTCCACTTCACAACGAGACTGAGGCGCAAAGAAACCTACCTTGTCTGGCGAATTCAGAAAGGCATCTCGTTCAAAGGTCAAGCCATGGCTTACGAGCTGCTGCGAATCAAGGGCAGGCATGGCAAGAAACGA